AATTGTATAAACTATACCTGCAAAACAAAATAATGTAAACATTTGATAGTTCTGAAACGCAGAGAGAAAGTTTAGCTGTCTCGAATAATCTAATATGATTTTAATTATAATAGAATAATGCAAATTTAGTTCCGTACTATTTAGTGATAAATATTTAATTTGTATTAAACTGCACTTAGAAAAATATGCAGTTTGTCTGCATTGAAAATGGGCTTATTAACGTAGGACAAAAACCAACTGTTTTTAAGATAACTACTTCGAATGCATAATACAGTATCTTGCATTGTCTCTGTTAACATATTTATAGTTTCAAAATTACTCCTTACATTTTCATTTTAAAGTAGTGTATTCAATGAGGCGCGACTAATGGGATTTACTTGCAGGGTTGACCCAGCCATTGTCTCTTTTAATCCGTATAATTAGGGGATTAGTTCCTTGCATGGGTAGGACCGAGGCGCGCAAGGTACCTCTGCGCTCCTTGGTCCTACCCCTACGGATTTTATTTATGACCTCCCATTAGAGCAAGTATTGTGCGCTCCTCGGTCCGCGAATCCCCCTAAACAGTTTCAATGGCACAAAAAAACACACAAACAAAACAAACTATAATATGTGTGTAGAATTATATTTTTTAGCTCATAATGTATGACGTTTCATCTAAAAATCCCCTTTAAATGCTTTTAGCGTTGAAGTTACAAGAGTTTTGTGTAACTAGTGTGCGAAGTGGCGCTTTGCTGCACATGAGATAAAAATTTTCGCACGAGCCGCAGGCGAGTGTGGAAAGTTCCTTGAGTGCAGCAAAGGCACTTTGCACTCGCGTTACACATTATATTTTTTCTACAGTCATTATAAAGCATAGAAATAGCTAGTCTTTCAAACATTATACAACACGTTTTTAGGTTAGATTAAATCCAAGCGTTGGTCGAAATGTGAAACGCTGCACCAGCTGGTCGTAGTGTAGTATCTTAAAGTGTTGCCAATTTATTTTAAAGCGTAGACGTATTACGTGTGTAATAAAGCACACAGTTTTGTGTTGTTTGGTTGGAATACTGAAGTGCAGCAAAAATATGAGTGTGACAAAAGTAAGTAAATGCAACAGTTAGGTACTTGGTGTGCTATTATAATCAGTACAAATAAGCCCACTATGTCAGGTAACTGTAGGAAAAATATATATTCACCTGTGACTTGGAATCCTAGTCGTATTGTTGAAATTACAAAAAAAATAGTTCCTTGCATTATGGTAGTTGATTTACAGCATGTTTAATTTATATCAATGCGTTTCTTTGACGCCCCTTTTAATGGTACAAATGCAACATACATAAATTTACGAATAAATGGTAAATGTTACGTTGTTGCAAAGGTCACAAAAACCTGAATATTCTTGTAGTAAATTTGCATTTTAACACAAGTATGAAGGAGAAAGTTCACAATAAATCACACGCTTTAGCATAACAGATTGAGAAGAAGAAGACACCATTATGTGTGTCAAGCATGGTTTCATTTGACTAATACCTACTTTTAATGCCACACCTCTCTAAGGCTTTGGAAGTAATGATATACTAGTTTCTTGCCAAGTGGTTAGCAATGATATAGGTTATCCAATCATATAACGTCAGCTTTAGGAATGCACTTAGTTTAAAGTTGGTACGTTTACTTTTGAACTAATCCAGTAGAATATTGTAAAAGGTATTAGACATGTGCAAAGCAAAATGACATGTGTTTCCTTTGGTAAACAAACGTAAAAAAATACGTTGTCAGTGGACTTTTCCTTTTTTTGTGGAAGAGGGAAAATTGAAAAAAATGTGTCTAATCATAAATCAAATTTGGAAAGAACACTTTGTAACGAGTTATTTTTCCTAGGGGGGTAAATATTTGCTATTTGGCCGCGCACCGATTGTTGAGGTAGGCAAGCGGCGGCGGCGGACCTGGCTAGCGCCCTTTGACCCGGCTTATCAGTTCGGATAAGCTTGGGTATCCTGGGACTACCGGATAGCCGAGCAGGAGATTCTAGTGGTGGATCTCGGACGGTCAAGTAGTGAGTGTTGGTGTCCTGTGCCTGTGGAGACGGCTGGCGTACGTTGGTGGTACATCGGAGTGTGGTGATACCGGTGAACAGTGTTGGGGTTAAGTTGGGTACTGACCCACTTGTGGTGAGTGGACGACTTGATATTATTAGTTTGATAATATTAATATCTGGTTTTATTGCGAGAGTTAGAGTTGTAACCGTGCTGGTCAAAGCCTGACGGTAGTTAGGATTTATATTAGTCAGGAATAATATTAAAGTGTACTCCTGACGGTTCTGGGCAGGTGCTAGAGCGCAAATAATATAATTTAATTGACTGTAGTAGATATTATTTTGCGTTGTACCTAGAGTTAGTTATATTACTAATAACTCTGAGGCCCGACAAACCTAGGCTGCACGATTTAGCGTGCGTAGTTGGAAGCACGAGGCCAGTAAGGCTAGTAGCTAGTTTTATTAGCCTATTAACAGAAGCCCGGCTAAGCAATATAACGTGGATATAGTAGCAGTAGTGGTAGTAGCGGTAGGGTTGGTATTGATTAATCATTTGATTATTTTACTTCAACCTGAACAGCTTGCTTAGTAATCCAACACGTTAGCTTGGTAGCTTGGATAGCGTAGTACCGGCTATCAGATAATATATTTATCTAGTGTTTGGAACGTATTTAATATAATTATTCATTTGCTACTAAGTTGCTCAATAATTTAATAGTAGGCTTTTGCAATTTACATATAGTTTTGCTTGTTTAGCTTGGTATTTATTGAGACCAGCTACTAGCGGTGTAGTCACTCTGTCTATAGTATACTTATGGTATTAGTATCGAGTGGACTGCTTGATTCTTAGCTTGGGCATTAGAGTTGTGTATTGGATTATAGTGGCCTAGTAGACCCCGCCTGGTGATAACTCGCGTTGTGGTTTTTATTGGCAAGTCGTCGTGTAACTCACCGTGTTTTAGGCACTCTGGGCTTAACTATTGGATAGTTAGGACGAAGCCCGAGTTGCGTAGTCAGCAACGACCCCCTAGGAGTGTGGAGAATCGGCGTAGGCCTGGTAGTGATTATTGCACGTTTGTTTTGGTGACTTGTTTTTTACTTGTTCACAGTGCCCGTGTATGAGCCAGTCCTATACCGGTTAGGCCCGGCTTTTGGCCTAGTGGTTTCCCTGACCTTATCGCAGACCCTGGAATTTTACCCAGCCATTGTAGGCTGAGCTATCCCCGGCAAACGGTTGCGACTGCACTTACTTCTAATATTATATTTTCCCAGTGCAGAAAATTTCGTCGCAAGATGGCGCCTGCGAACAGGGACTGAGGTTGGCAGTGGTGCTGAGTTGCTGACGTATTAACGGCGCCCGAACAAAATAATTTTATTTGTGCAGATTTGCTGCGGACTTGTGCAGATTGGCTGCGGACCTGAGCTGTTGAGCAGAGTTTTAGGCAGACCTGCTGTGATTTTATAGTCGGTTGGGTAGGCCTAAACTGTTTTCTGTTACAGCGTGGTGTGTTGTGAACCCTAATTTATTTAGTGGTTGTATACATAGATATTAGTTAGTAATTTTAATTTTGCTAATTAATTGAGCTTTAGTCTTGAATATTATTTGAGTGAGAACCCTTATTGTGTATTTGTGGTTTGACTTTCACACCTATAATTGGTTTGATTTAATAGTACGGTGTTAAATAGATTTTAATCGGTTTCGCTCTTATTTTTGTGGATTAGTCGTGGTATTTGAATTTTAAATATGGTTGTGACTACGAGTACGACGTCTGTGCTGGGCGGTACGCCTATTACGTCTGCTATTGTTACGACTAGTTCTGGGGTTAGCTCCGAACTGTCGGTGATGACGACGTCGTCATTGTGGCCTGCGTCTTCGCCTGTTTGGCCGACTATTTCATCGGTCGTGGGTACGACGGTGACAACGTCTCTGACCTATTCCGCGCCAGCGACTATGTCCTTGGGGTCGCAGCCCCGGGACAGTCGCGTGGGTTGGATATATGACCTCTCGAAAGGGGAGCTCATGAGAACGATGGACCAGTATGGTTTGGTGACCACTGGGACTTCTGCGGAATTACGGCAGAGATTTTCATCGTTTTGGAAGCAGCGGAATGCCCGTCGGTACAGTGATGATAGGATGTGTACGGCTGGGGCTGCTGCACCGACATTTTTACCGCCGGCTACTACAACTATGGGGCTTCCTGACCCCTCGAGAACCGTACCTCAGGTACTGGGTAGTACTGATTCGGGCCAAATAGAGATAGTGGGACTTAGCCGGGAGTTAGAGGCGGTCAAAGAGATTCTTGGGTTGTCTTTGGATACTGATACCCAGACTCTTCGAGAATATCTGGCATCGGTGGTGCGACAGGCGAGAGGCTCGCCGAGTAATGAGGTCGGCTATGGGTTCGAAAGACCCGCCAACCCTGCGTCCCCTGTTGTGGCTGATCAGCTGTCTACCTTTGGGTTACCAAGTAGACCCAAGGGATGGCAGCGGCCCAATGATAATTCAGAGAGACCAGTCCGTCCTTCTAGCTTGGAGCTGCCACGAGGATCGGATATGCTCTCAAATGAGGCCAGCAGGGTGGAGCCAAAGAATTGCTCCAAAGTATGCAACACGGTACGGAAGTGGGGTTTAAGGTTTGACGGCCGACGAGACCCTGTGTCGTTCCTGGAGCGCCTTGAAGAGCTGATGGTCTCGTACTCTATAACATCAGAGGACCTGCTCAGAGCGCTGCCGGAGCTGTTGCAAGGCTCAGCGCTTCTATGGTACAGGAATTGCAAGGAGCTCCTGTATTCCTTTGAAGCTTTCCGGCGTCAGTTTGAAATCCAGTTCTTCCCACCAGGATATTGGAGGAACTTGGATGAGGAGATCCGGAAAAGGACACAGGGTGAAGGCGAGCACTTCCGGGACTACGTTGTTGCCATAAGTACCTTGCTTAGGCGTAGCGGTACGTTGTCAGAGCATGGTAGATTGGACTTGATCTACAACAACATGCGACCTGAGTACAAACTCATGGTGCGACGGCGTGACTTCAGGAACCTGGCCGAGATGGTTGAGTTGGCCGAAGATTATGAGGCTTATATGCGCGAGAAGGCAGCCTTCCGACCTCCTCCTTCTCCGAACGTAGCGCTGGTTTTGGAAACCGCCTACACGCCCAAAAAGAAGGTGGAGAAGCGCTCCGAAACTGCCGCAGTCGAGAAGCGGAGTTTCGAGAGACCATCTCCGGCAGCTGAGTCGCTTGGGCGGGTGGCTTCGAAGTTGGATCGGGTCCACGGTCAACGGTCCGTGACAGCAGCTAGAGCGCCTGAGGGTCCAAAGGGGACGGTGAAATGTTTTAGGTGCCAGGAGATTGGTCACTTTGCCCGAGAATGTGGTAAACCAAGGACCGTCTCCTGTTATGGATGTGGCAAACCCGGTTTGACGGTGAATCAATGTGGATGTCGGGCGGGAAACGGCAGGCCAGCTCAGACATCAGGAGGTCAACTGGGCAAGGCCACCCAAAACGAACGACCTCAGAAGAGTGGTCCGAGTGGCTCGGAAAACTAGACAGCCTGGTTGGTGGAGTAGACGAGAACCGGCTGGTTTGGGAGACAAGGCCCTTTGTTGAAGTTGTGCTGATGGGCAGCGTTTTTAAGGCGTTATTGGACACTGGGTCCGTAGTTAACCTGGTTGGGCGAGAAGTCGCCGATCATCTTCAACGCCAGGGGGTTGAACCTTTTAAGAAACCCTCTCCTCTAAGGATGGCAGATGGGTCACGGTCTAGAGCCGAGTATTCATTCCGATTGGCAGGAGAAGCTGCGGGAAGACGGTGGGTTGGAGACGCCTTGTACGTTCCCACTCTTACTACGGATATGATTTTGGGTATGGATGTCATACGAGATCTCAGACTTGTGACGGTCGTGACGGAGGTGATAAGAATGGGCGTGGGTGATGACTGTTCTGGTCAAGTGGGCCGCATAGACAGTGTCAGAATTGGTGACGAAGACCCCAAAGGCCCTTGCAATGGAAATCCCCGTCTGGTTGCTGATGCCAAATCATTCAGCACCATGTTGGCTGGTAGTGGCTAGTAGAAGAGTTTTTCTTTGTTTTGAGTTTGAGACCTGTGGTGTGTGGTTCACCATTGGGTTAGGGGTTGGAGTATTTTGTTTTGGCCGGAGTTCAAAGATTTTTTTTCTTTTTGGCCGTTTTCTTTTTTTTTCATCCCGATGTAAGTGGGGGATGTAACGAGTTATTTTTCCTAGGGGGGTAAATATTTGCTATTTGGCCGCGCACCGATTGTTGAGGTAGGCAAGCGGCGGCGGCGGACCTGGCTAGCGCCCTTTGACCCGGCTTATCAGTTCGGATAAGCTTGGGTATCCTGGGACTACCGGATAGCCGAGCAGGAGATTCTAGTGGTGGATCTTGGAGGGTCAAGTAGTGAGTGTTGGTGTCCTGTGCCTGTGGAGACGGCTGGCGTACGTTGGTGGTACATCGGAGTGTGGTGATACCGGTGAACAGTGTTGGTGTTAAGTTGGGTACTGACCCACTTGTGGTGAGTGGACGACTTGATATTATTAGTTTGATAATATTAATATCTGGTTTTATTGCGAGAGTTAGAGTTGTAACCGTGCTGGTCAAAGCCTGACGGTAGTTAGGATTTATATTAGTCAGGAATAATATTAAAGTGTATTCCTGACGGTTCTGGGCAGGTGCTAGAGCGCAAATAATATAATTTAATTGACTGTAGTAGATATTATTTTGCGTTGTACCTAGAGTTAGTTATATTACTAATAACTCTGAGGCCCGACAAACCTAGGCTGCACGATTTAGCGTGCGTAGTTGGAAGCACGAGGCCAGTAAGGCTAGTAGCTAGTTTTATTAGCCTATTAACAGAAGCCCGGCTAAGCAATATAACGTGGATATAGTAGCAGTAGTGGTAGTAGCGGTAGGGTTGGTATTGATTAATCATTTGATTATTTTACTTCAACCTGAACAGCTTGCTTAGTAATCCAACACGTTAGCTTGGTAGCTTGGATAGCGTAGTACCGGCTATCAGATAATATATTTATCTAGTGTTTGGAACGTATTTAATATAATTATTCATTTGCTACTAAGTTGCTCAATAATTTAATAGTAGGCTTTTGCAATTTACATATAGTTTTGCTTGTTTAGCTTGGTATTTATTGAGACCAGCTACTAGCGGTGTAGTCACTCTGTCTATAGTATACTTATGGTATTAGTATCGAGTGGACTGCTTGATTCTTAGCTTGGGCATTAGAGTTGTGTATTGGATTATAGTGGCCTAGTAGACCCCGCCTGGTGATAACTCGCGTTGTGGTTTTTATTGGCAAGTCGTCGTGTAACTCACCGTGTTTTAGGCACTCTGGGCTTAACTATTGGATAGTTAGGACGAAGCCCGAGTTGCGTAGTCAGCAACGACCCCCTAGGAGTGTGGAGAATCGGCGTAGGCCTGGTAGTGATTATTGCACGTTTGTTTTGGTGACTTGTTTTTTACTTGTTCACAGTGCCCGTGTATGAGCCAGTCCTATACCGGTTAGACCCGGCTTTTGGCCTAGTGGTTTCCCTGACCTTATCGCAGACCCTGGAATTTTACCCAGCCATTGTAGGCTGAGCTATCCCCGGCAAACGGTTGCGACTGCACTTTTAATATTTGTTTTCCAGTGCAGAAAACTTCGTCGCAACTTCAAAAACCATTTCACGGATATAATACATTTGCCAATACTTTTCGATCTACACTTACTGTACGTATTAACCAGGTGTATATACATACAAAATGGCGTTTCATTTTGCCCGGTCATCATCATACCCCATCAGAGACTCAAGAGGTTATTTAATAATAGTTAAACAATTTCATTAATTTACAAACTGATGTTTTCAACCCAATAGCTACAAAATCATTTATTCGTAAGCTTACTGTGTTCAATTCAGATCAAATATGAATCTAGTCTTAAACATTCACTATAGTATCCTCATTTGGATCTCAGAATGCAATTTACAGTTCTATTACGCACACACCAGTATAGGAAATAATGTTGAAAACATTACGTAAACAACTAAATCACATCATTGAGATAAAATAGAAAACCAACATAGCAAAAAAAAACTAAAAACAATATTCCAAATTTACTTATTTCACAGCGAATGGCTTAAAGCAATTATTGATCTCTTGCACAAGGCGACCCTAGCATTAGCGGATTTAGAACCAATACGAAATCAATTTCTCGCAAAGAGACTATCAGTTGAAACATCTTGGCAGCATCTATAATGAGTACTATACAGCATCTGATAAGAAGGGGAGGGGGAGTCGTGAACTGATAAGAAGGGAAAGTGAAGTGAACAAGTCAGCTTAAGGGCACACCAATGTATGCACTATGCTTTTGATGGTGTAGATATCAGGGCCGTGCATTACCATTTAAATATCGACTATATGGGTTGCAATTTGATAAACCAGTTGCTACTTGTGTTATACTTGACAATATTTAGGCGGTTTTAGGGGAAAAAATATTCTATCCCCTCCACTTGACCCTTACCTTAAAAGTAATAGCTCAACAGCTGATTAAGCAACATACATTAAAATATAAAGAAATAGTGGGGGGACTTCCCCTCAAACCGTCATTAAATATTGTGAACTAATATAAGTATAGTTTTATGATGTAAGTTTTATTTTTTTTATATGATCTATTGAAAATTATAACATATTATCTGGGTAAGTGGCTGAAGGAGTGCTGTTTCCGAATTTGATATTTGCTGGTTCGTTACAAGGAGGGGTGCTGGACTCAGATGACCATAATTGTTTAGATATCAACTATTGTAACAAAATGTATACGTTATAGCCTATAGTAACTGGACTAGTTTTGGAACGTTCACTTAAAACAATCGATTGCTAATGTTACTTGGTATTGAAACACACACACAAAATATATTAATATACGAAGTACGGTTACATAAAACTATGAAACGAAAAAAGTTGTGAAAAATATTTCGACTGAAGGATTGACATCTGTATAAGGAAGATTTGTAAAGAAATTTCTACACCAGAGAAGACTGAACACAGAAGACTCATCAGAAACTTCTAAAATATTTATTTCTGGCAAAAGATAATTAGCCAACGGAAAGGAGTTTGTAAGGTCGTTCCTTTAAATAGTCAGAATTTTAGGATTTTAAATAATCTATCTTAATAAAGACCCTGCAATAGACTCCTGGGTAAGGGCTTAAACATTACTATAATGTATTTATACCCCTTTGCCTTTCGTTCTTTTATACAAAATTGTCTCAGCCTGTTGACTTGTCCAATGTGAAAATGAAATATTCACTGCCTTGATTTTATGAATACATTTGACTTACTCTGCTGATGAAGTGCAATCAAGTCATGAATACGGATTTTTCAAATCTACAAATTTGATAACATCCCCATGTTCTGTAGATTTATCAAACCAATTAAATAATCCTTTAGCATTGCTCTGTACCTGAACGAACAATGGATCAGTTATTCATTACTTAAATTACTTCCATACATGTTTTTCTAATAGTCTTCAACATCAAATGTTTGAGTCCTCGAGGTTTTTTATATTACAATATGAAGGAAAGATGATGCATTTTACATACCTTCAACAAACCATTTACTTTGTTTTCTTCTCTTTTTCTATCCTACGAGTATAAGTATGCCATGATACAGAACTTGTGTTTAAACATCTCTTGCATAATAAAACACCACTTTTATTCCTTTAGTTTACTTATCGAAAATATTCTTCCAGTGTAGAGCTTTGCTTCACCGATGGTCTATTCACGTCAATACATCAATACCTTTCTATTTTTACTGTTTTACTCTTGTCTTTTACTCCTATTCAATACCCCCTTTTAACCCTGCATTCTAGTAAGTTAAAAATCTCAGTTGATAAGACGGTTTTCACGTTTAATTTACTGTTTTCTATCTTTACACCAACGCTGGAAACCGATGTTAATTCTAGATTATAAGAGTTAGTTAGCTTCATTGTCGATCTATTTATGTTATGAAATTCAGAAAAGATCCATTTGTGATTCTTCAAGTTTGGACCGATGCTTCAATTTACATCTCAGAAAAAACTACAATTATTGTCTTTTCCTCTTGCTCTTGCGAACGTTGTCGGTCCTTTATATTTTGCATTTTTGCGTGAATTGTATTTCAACTTAGCTTTTGGGACTATTTTTTACAACATCAACCCCACGTTTGATGTCTTATAGCACTAGGGTTGAGAGCCAATACCCTCCAGATTATACTAGTCTGTTTCTTCGCCGATTGTCTAATGGCGTAATTACAAGCATTTTCTTCTCCACAGGTCTCCTCCTCCGTCCCTTTTAACTCTCCATTCCTATAAACTAAATCAGCCCCTAACCTTTAAGATTAATCTTCTTAAAACAATTACGAGTATATTCAGTATGATTTATTGCACCTGAGCTATCCACCCGAGCAGTTATTCTTAGGGACTTCTTAGCTTAGAGACCTCAATTATTCACCGATGGTCTGCCAAAATACGCCATTACACTATTAAAATACACGGGTACTCAACACTGTAGTAAGCCACTTGAATTAAATATTTTTTTAGCAGGTTCTTGAAATTGTTGATAGAGTGCTCTTGCGCGATGTACTCAGACAATTCTCTTTTTCTTCTCTTTACCTTTCACAGTGTTTCCCGTGCTTTTCACCTCGCATTCTTGCGAAATTTTCTTTTGGCTGTCGGGACTATCATGAACAACTACTACTATTTATGTTTCACACTCCAGATCTGTAGGTGTTAGTCCACTATCTGGTGTTAGTAGACTTTGCCACTCTGATGGTCTATTGTTCCCAGTCACCAATGGCAGCCACCAAGTCTTGTTTATGGCTGCCTTAACGCTTATGGCACCAACAAATCACTTACTTTATAAAGGCTTTGTAGGGATGACTATAGCGATATACATATTTCTAGATCTTCTATTATGTTGAATGCTTTAGCAGAACCAAAAGTATAGTGGATCCTTTGAATGATGTCTATCAAATGCATTTTCAAGTTTATATTTTTCTCCGCTTGTTTAATGACTCGTTCCGGAATATGGAGAAAAAATCAAAAGGCTTCTTGAACCGTGGAATCATACCATCTAGAAAAATGATTTGCTTATGTTATTGTTGACTTATTAGTTGATTGTTCATTGAGATTGTGTATTTATTTCGAAAGGATTTTCAAACAGCACTTATTAGATGGGTAATTGTCTTAAGTTTAAAATATACAATTTGAAATATCTTTCATCCAGAAGTTAAGATTTTTCTGATATCCAAATACTGTATAACAATGCGTCAGATGTTGTAATGGAAGAGTATAGTCCTAGTAAAAATTTGAGGACCCATTCTACTGTATAGACTATTTACCCATTCAAGCAAGACTTTACGAGGATTTAAACAATTTATTGTTCAACCATTGGTATTTTTTAAAGATTAATTCCTTTCGATCATTTCATTAATTGTAGCCTTTTTGGTTATAAATGGGAGTACAGAATTCATCTAAACCCCACCATTGATCGGATACCTTGAAGCTATTTACACATAATTCAAGTACAGTTAGATAACCATCCAGTTTCTGTGTAAACTAAACTTTAATCTCTAATTTGCTCGATCCTCAGGCTGTTTGTCCGCAACATAATGTATCAATCTCTATAATAACCGCAATTAAAATAATATAACCAATATTCTCTGAGGCAATATACTAGTTACTCATCATTTTTGCCCATCGGTTTGGCTATCTTGTTGGTAGCTTTCTACATTTTATTGATTCATATTTAGTGATAGTGTTGCTGGCTCGTGCAAGAATGCAATGGCTAACATTGGTAGAATAAATGCAACGTCTTAATTGTTTAATATAGCATGAAAATCTAAATAGTATTTCTAACTCATAAATGCACTCATTTACAAAAGTCTAACTTATTTGGACGGATAAATTTGTCTTTCAAGGGTGTATTGATTGTAAATTGAGTTGTTTCAAACCAACTGCCCAGTTAATCAGGAGTCTTCGATCAAAAATGCAAACTCGAATCAGCTGTATTCATAAAAACTTTACTCAATCAGCTGTTTTGAACATACAACATGGTCACGAGTATTTACCAAGTGCAAACTCTTTATTCCTAGCCTTATTTATTCCACCATATTTATAGTCAATCAGCTGTTTCAGCAAGTTCAAACCTAATCAGCTGTTTGGCTGCAGTCTCCATCAGCTGGTCAGAGGTTGATTTACACAACCAGCAAGACCAGGAATGCAGCCTATCTCCAACGTACAACTGGAACCTACTGCTCATTCTGCAATATATTATCATAAACCGTCTGTTAGTGCCTTCATTTACATTCCTACAGCGTTGACCTCTTTAGTACTCAAAGCAGTCACGTTTCGGTCTTTTTCTCCCAGAGTGCGGGATGGTGTACAATAATAAGCCGTGACATTTTATCGCCTTTCGAACACGATTTTTGTTCGTATCAATACGGGATGGTTTTGTGAGGTGGGGCTTCTGTAGAGGTTATGGTTGTGAGGTAGGATTTTAATGCATATTGAGTATGAAGTATCCTAAATGTCACCTTTAACGCGATGCTAACCGTTTTATTGACCAAAGTAGATATAACTCTTGGTAGAGGTGAATTTATCTTTGTGCACTTCATTATTATTTCCAATTATTACCAAGTGAGATATTGAGACAACTGGGTGGATTTAATCAATTTTTTTTGTTCAAGGGGTGAGCTACTTTGTGTAAGTTTATTACTTACTATAAAAAACAAGTTACAGTACTTTTTTGGACAAAATAATTTATTAAAATCCCAAGAATCAAGGACATTGGGTCATGTTTAGAACCATCAAAAAGCGAGTGTCTTTCGATCTAAGTTAAAATCATTACGTAAAGTGAGATCGGTATGTACTGAATAAAATAAACATGAATTAAAACATGTTATACATAATCTTAGACATTGGTTATGAATTAGTTTGTAATATTGTAATAAATAACTTGGTGTTTCTGTTACAGGTAAGTATCCTGATCAAGAAATCCACGAATGGATATCAATAGGAGGATCCAGGAGGAGGTTTGGAAATATTACTATCCCTTCCATAAAACAAAATTATATGTTTTCCTGCCTAGTGGTTGACGTCTCGGACTCCGCTTCGAGAGAAACATGTTCCGAGGTACAAACAAAATTAGAGGGCTGGATTTTTTAAGTTTTAAAGTAACTGTTTTATCTTTTTCGCTAGAGTCTCCATTAGTGGTATTATTTGAACAAAACCACAAACACTTATAAAACGTTAATTCAAATAATTTTTATTAATTCGAATCCACCAGGGATCGAACCTGGCCCTCCTGCACAGAAGTCCGACTAGTCTGCTAATACACCCATCTTTTTTAGCTTTGATAAATAATACTATTATCGTTTCACAAGTTTAAATTTCTTTAAACTGTTGAACCTTAGTTCCATCCAAATGGTTGTATACAGTCAAAATATTTTTTTACTAAAAGTTTTTCCAGGGAGTAGAATTACCAGTCAAAGTAGACTAGCCAATTTAGGATTGAACCAAGGTCTTCTTGCTTTGACCACTGCTTTGAACTAGAGGATCTTCTGGTCGAGATTTTGGATGCGTTGCATCTTTAGATAGAGTAAAGTAACAAAACAACTGAAGAAGACCATCATGTAAAGTTAATCCAATTAGATAAGTACTGATGATTAAAATCATCTAAATATATAGAAGGCAAAGCCCTCACTGACTGACTGACTGACTCACTCACTCACTCACTCACTCGTCACTAGTTCTCCCACTTCCCATTTACCTAGGAGGCTGAAATTTGGTACACTGATTCTTTGGACATTAAATAGGAAAACTAAGTGGTTTTTATTCTGATCGGGCTTTCGGGCTCCGCCCCAGTGGCTCTGGAGTTTCCCATGTTAACCTTATGATTTTTCATATTTAAAAGGAATTAATGAATCTTAACAGCTGTTTCAATTAAACAAGTTGGTTCTGTTCTATGATGCTCAATAGCATTAAAGTTACAAGGATTACCAACAGGGTGCAGCACTATTATTATTTTTTAAATTTATGACAACAGCTAATTTGCAACCAAAAGGTGAATGAGCGAAGCGAACGAACTTCAACCTGGAGGCGAGTTAGCGAAGCGAACGAGCTAACCTGAAGGCAAGTGAGCGCAGCGAACGAGCTCCAACCTAAAGGTGAGTGAGCGTAGCGAACGAACTTAGACCAGGACGTGATTGAGCTATGAGAACGAGCTCACTTATGAAGTTAAACGGGGCAAAGCCCGCGGGTACAGCTAGTACTTCATATTATCAATTATCAATTATTGGAGATGGGGACGTCACCTAGGTGTCAAAACTGCTGCGGCATACCCTACCAAAAAAAAACCAAGACCAGAGACACATCCAAAGATTTGGCCAATATTTTCACATAATGATTCAGTTAACTTCCAAGATTCTAACGACTACGACTAAGCAGAGTGTAACTTTCTAAGTCACATATATTTTTCTAATTAAAACAATCGTCTAATTATCACCAAGGAAAATTGTCAATTTCTCACGTTATTTATTAACATTCCGCGCGCGTGCTGAGTTGTTTATGCGTCGGTGTATTGCACACTCATATATTTGATCGTGAGTGTGTGTGTATGTCTTGACACCAGGCCTACTTATTATCCCAGGTGTACTACAAGGCTATAAACTCGGCCCACTACTATTCTCAGTCCTTTCGCCGCCGCCGCTATTGCTATTCTCTTTAGTTCACCAAATAAGATATTAGTGCGATTTACATGTTACCAGATGGTGTTTTTTTTTTTATTTTAGTGACACCCTCAGGGGTTACCAATAGCTTATAATTCTAACAATTCAAAGTGGTGTTTGTTGTTTTCAATTAAGGATGATATTAAGCTATGTATGGGTTGGATTAACACGAACACGTGTTTAACGTTAAACTGGTACGGTAAAAGTAGTTTTATTTTACCTTAGTTGGATCAACGAATGATTCCTAGTTTTTAATATAATTTACTGTAAAACAAACTAAAATTCAATTTAAAATATAATGCACTGTGGACCCAAATAAATGCCTTTGCGCCGCAGACAAAATTGAAATGCACTAAGACAATTCGTATGAACTGCAGAGGCATACAATGCGAACAAAGTAAATGTAATTCTTAACTCTTATCGTCTGTCAAGATTGAAGCTTACTTTCTAATTTGAATACTGATATGCATCCCGCCTCAAGAACCGTCTATTAAGTATTTTTGCTCAAACATTAAATAAATTAGCCTCACATAGAAATTCTCACACTATACAACCAGATACACCCCTTACACCAGTTTCAAATATCAATACAAGACGATCATGAAAATCATGAATCATGATAAATATTATTTATGAACACCCCTATTGTGTTTTTATCTATTTATACGGATTACACTACAAGTAAGTGTATATATTGAAGACCAAAATTAAAATAAAGTTGCAGATAAGGTAAGGTTTGATACAGTGAACCACTGTAGCATCCCAATACAGACATTGGTGGTGTATTAGTCAGTTGTAAGTAATCTCCGCAATGCTATCCAACCTGATACTATCAGTTGTGATTTATCGAGTGCGGTCTTCTTGGATGCGGAAATCGTTCTGTCTTTCCTCCGGGGATCCTTATCCTGTATCAAGATGACCAACTTTGTAACGAGAAAATGCCCTTTAAAATTGCTTTTAAAATTAAGTTCAATTGATGGAACTTTAATATTGGACCATTTGATGTCTGATGTGATCGAAAAATTTTCTCTTAATTGCTAGTTTGGCTATTTGTGTTGTGCTTTAGTTTGATGTGGAGAGTTTCATTTTTCTTCACCTTTTTCTCTTATTAATGTTTCTACTTCAAGTTTTCTTTGGCTATTTAATTCTTCAAGATTTTCGCTGTCCATATATTGTGGATGGTTTGTGTCCGTTTGCCTTTGCAATTTTCTTGGCGATCTTATTTTCGCGATGAAAATGCAGAGAAAATTAATCAACCAAAGTAAACTTATTAGATAGAATATGGAAAAGAGTGATGGGGGGGGGGGATTTTCACTTTTAACTACACCAGAGAAAGCGTCGAAATAGCAACAAAATTTGAATATCAGTTTTATGTAGCTTTTAAAACAGGATAATATTTAACTTTTAAGAAAAAAAGAAAAATTTTAAACTTTATAAAAAATCATTGGAACCTCTTGCTGTTCTTTGACTAATGGTTTTAACAGCTAATGCCACTAGATGAGACTAACCCCTTTTTAAATTCATTTTTAGGTGATTGGGAAAAGAATATTAAAAAGTATGCATTAACTTTGCAGTAGTCAACCCAAACTATATTACTAATTACTCAGTTATGGTGTATTAACAATTTTAACTTAATTACCTTTTTACTCTTTACATTTTTACAATTTCAAAATCTTTAAAATTGGAAATGTGTTTTAAATATTCCAATCCACTGATGTTGTTTTGAATTATTTAAAAAAAGCCTTTCAGTTACTTTATAATTAATTGATACACCAACTTTTTAAATTTTCAAGTATTTTAAAATGCATCATCTTATTTTCAAAGTACTCCAAACCATCCACCAATCCATCGATTTCCAAACGATACAACCAATTTTACGTAGTAAAGCCCCCCTAATTCCCAGGAACCAATTACACCTATTTCAAAAACTGGCGCAAATTTGAAAATTGCAACACAAGTCTAAATCACTGTTATTAAGGTTCACGGGTCGGAGAGGAAGTTGTAATGGGGGTTTAATTTAATTTTTCACAAGATTACTAATAAAATCAGCTGATCCCCATATAGAGCGACGTTATATCAAATAATGAACCTGGTCTATAAAATACAACCTGAACGCTTACCGGTTGAAACCGGGTTGCGAAATGTGTTACGTAAGATGATGTAAGATGTGTAATTGTTAAGAATTAAATTGAAAAATGCTTTATTAAAATTGTTAGATTAATTTTATCTTGTATTTTCATGTTAAACATTAATTCTATCGATTGTTCAGTTAGCTATTGATCAAGGGTAGCAAATAGTAAATGGTATTACTATAGTGTCACATAGAAACTAGTTTCTACGGCAACCAATTGGATTACCGATTTAAAAAATGAAATGGTAATAGTTCGTCACAAAGTTTTATTTGGGGTTTGCTATCAATTTACAATAGTTTTGCTGATCCATGACTTTATTTTGTATGTACAATAATATTCTATATTTAACCGGTTCTAAAAAATAGAATTAACAGGGATTTGTTGCTAACTATTCTTTAGTGTCTAACACATAAAAAAGTTCTATCTTGGTTTGTGGGTAATGCAAACCCCTGAAGACCACTGTGACTATGAACGCCTAACTTCCTGTGTTAAAATAAAATACATTTGAGTAATATAGTTGTATATCCATACAGCCTTTCAACATAACCCACTAGCATATCTTGCAATATAAGGGTCGTAATTAGCATTGCGCAACATTAGATAGTTCCCATCCACGTACATGTACACTGTACAGTAACGCTTGTACATCGTAAATAGGCCTCACTTGTACGGGGACCTGCAAGGAGATAAAGTAGGACCGTTGATTTTCCGCTCGAATCTTGGCCGACTCTCTACACTTGCCTTATCTGAACAGTAAACCTTCCCTGTATGTTGGTGTTTGTACAGTATGTATGTTGGTACAGGTTGTTGGTAAGCAGTCCAGCTGAATGCTGTAGTGAAAATATATGGTTCGTGACTGTAGTTGTCTAGTATTGGTCAACTGGTGTGATCAACGCATCCAAATTTTTCAAGGCTGACCAATGACTTGAAAGACTGTGCCGTTATGTCAAATGTCTAACAAACATCAAACCTATATCTAAACTTATTTAATACGCAAGCAAGTTTTTTGTGACAATTACTCCTCCGAAACTATTGAACCGATTGACATGTTTTTGGTGATTTACAAGATTTACAGGAAACTTTTTTTAGGGAAATAATTAGAGAGTGAGGCCCTGGGGCCCTTTAAACTTTCATATTCCTCCATAAGATTAACATGGGAACCAAATATTGTTA